CACGGGGAAGCCCAGACTTCAGTGATTGGTTATATGCTACAACTTTTCATTTTAAAGTAGTCTCTTCTAATATTCTCTACCTAAAAGGAGATAAATCCAATAAAGAATCAATTCTATTTTCTACCATGACAAATTATAAAGATATTGTTTTTCATAGGCGCCCTGCGTGTGGGCAGGGGAGGTACGTTTGAGTGTTTGCGCATCCATCAGAATGATGCCAAGTGTAGTCAGACTTTGGCTACTTCATGGGTTCTCCTTCCATCCTTCTCCAACCCCCTTTTCTTCCATCTTTTCGACCCCCTAACACTAGATAAGAGAGAAAAAGGATAGAGGGAAAAAGGGTGATGTTATCAATAGACTCCTTCCTGCTGATTAGGGGTGTTGAGTTCCTTGGAGGCAAATTTGATCTTCACCATCAGGAGATCTAATTTCTTCTTGTTTCTTCTTTGTGCACAATTACCTAACAAACCATGACCAACGGCAACCAACCCACTACCAAAAACCTACCCTGTCTCTTGAGGTCCTAGCACTTATATACCCCGTGAAAAGTTCCCATAATTCCAAATGTCACACAATTGCAGAAACTGTCTGCTGCTGGCAAAACTCACACCCTTGCATGACACAAATCATAGTCAGCTGCTGTGGACAATCTGAAGCAGCCCCATATCCCACACCTGGGATTAAAACAAAAACATATTCTTATAATGTTTCTGTGTGTTTTAAAGAAACCAAAATTCTCACTACAGTCAAGTATATTCTTCCTTGGTTCACTCCCCACCTTACTTTTTGAAACAGTCTCTCTCTGAACCCAGAGCTTTCTGACTCAGGTAGACTAGCTGGTCAGAAGTGCTAAGATTCCCCCTACTAGCACTGGATAATAGGCAAGCACAACCACTCCACACAGCTCTTCACATGGGGCACTGGAGATTCAAACCCAGACATGCATGCTTGTACACAGTACTTTATCAACTGAGTCACCTCCGCAGCCCACTCGTGTGCATTTCTATGGAGGGGTAATCCAGACGCGTTCCTAGCCTTTATCTTGCCACCTCGGTAAACCCATAGATTCTGTTTGCCTTTGTGGCTACATAAATGTCATATGCAACATTGTTACTGTCTACAAAATACTCCTGCTTTAGTTGATACATGAATATCAAATACTTTCTTTGTGGTTTGGGATCAGTGTTCAAAAGTACTCTACCTTACTGAAGGGTCAACCCCTGGAGACAGTGCCTGCCCTCTGCTTTCATTGCCAAGGTCAATAGGATGAGGCAGTGGGTCCTTCCTCACCTCAAATTAGTGAGAAAAGATAAGAATGCCCTGCTGCCCTCTTCCTAGTGCAGTCTCTGCCCCCTCTACAGGGTAGTTGGGCCTTACCATGCTGCCCTTTCCTTCTTTCTGTTCCTTGTCCCTTCCCAGCAAAAGGCTTCACTTCCTACTTGATCAAAGACATGTCCCAGTGCAACCATCACCTCCTCTGTAGTCTTCTGTAGCCCTCACATCTGTGCTAGCCAGCCATCTAAGGACTTCCCAGCCTCCCCCGCCCCATTTCCCCTCAGCCTTGAACTACACTCAACCCAACCCTCTATTTATTTATTTATTTATTTATTTATTTATTTATTTAGATTTTTCAAGACTGGTTTTCTCAAGACTGGTTTTCTCAGTGTAACAGCCCTGGCTGTCCTAGAACTCATTTTGTAGACCATACTGACCTTGAACTCACAGAGATCTGCCTGCCTGTGCCTAAGTGTGGGAATTAAAGGCATGAGACACCACCCCCTGACTCAACCCAACTTTCTTACAGGGGCAGTTTATTCCTTGATAATGCTCAACCCATGATAGTAGCAAGTATCTATCATGTAAAAGTAATTTTGAAATAGAGATGGACAAGGCAGTTTCTGTTCCTAAGAAGCTTCTAGTTACTTGGGAGGACAAGTAGTATATCAAAAACAGCTCAACAAAATTAAAAGAGGTGTCATATTGGAAATGTATACAAAAAAAGATTCAAAGGAACTTACATGGAGTCCTGTGGAGATAACATCAAACAACAATCTTGGTATTTACAAGTATACTGAGTTAGTGGGTACCCAATTAAAGAGGGAAAGGCTTGTTATGTGAATGTTTCCTTTAAAATTGAAATATTCTATTTTTCAGGGAAGCCCATTAAGGAGAAAGGTAAACGTAAAATAGTTTCAGGAAGTCCCTGAAACTGACTGGATTCACTAGGCCCCTCCCTAACATAGTAAACAATAAAAGTGTAGAGTCCATGTCTAATGTAGCAAAATCAAGTGGCAAAGATGACTCTCAGACCATCTGCCTGGAAGAAGCAGAAACCAGCCAAGCTGCCTAAATGAGGAGGTTTAGACCAACTGAGGCACCTGGAAAAGACACTGTCCAACCTGTTGAGCTGCCTGCAGGCTGTGCTGTGTGTGCCAGGTTACCAGCTTTTTGAGCTGTCTTGGTGATACAGCTGTCTTTGAGTCATTCATGTTCCTGTAAGTAACCCATCACCCATATTTCTGTAACCCCAATAAAACCCAGTGATTCTCCAAGTTTTACTTTAGCTGTATCTGCACTTTGGTTTGTTATAGGTTCTCTATGTGGGGTGAGTAGATATGTTTGTTGTGTCTCGTATGAGCAGATACCAAAGGCTTTGGTTTTAAGAACCAGGTCCTTCATAACGAGTGCAAAGGGAAGAGATACAGATTTGCTTAGACCAGTGGTTCTCAACCTCCAGTATACATCAGCATCCTCAGAAGGTGTATGAGAACATCAAGTCACAGTTCTTGGTGACCCAGATAATTTGCAGTTCATCTAGTTTGGGATGTGGTGGACAGCATGAGGGTTCCTGGTCTGGAGCCTTTTATTATCTCCATTCTGTTAAAATAGTTTGGATGAAGTTCCTTTTAGGTGTCATCAGACTTCCAACTGCCAAATGTAACAGACAGAGTCTCCATCCTTACCCCGTCTTGACCTGTTCACACCATTACCACTTAACAACACCACCAACCTCCCTGAACCTAGTAGTCCCCAGGTGCCAGTCTCACATTTGGTCAGTTTACTGAAACACTAATCCCACAAGACTTCCCAAAACACAAGTGTACTTTATGACTCCAAACTTTAAAATCCACAACTCTCCACTGGTTCATTCTTCAACACCATGGACTGGCATAGCAGTTCCTTGACTTCTGATCATACTCATTCCTTTCTTGCTGCTGACCTATAGCAAACAAAATGTATCCTGGTGCCATCACATTACCAGGAACTCCCAAGACAGGCTGTGGACTTAAATTCTCCTGACTCTCTATATACTTTCTTTACCCAGAATTCCTTTCTTCCTTCCTCTCGCTGCCTGTCATTCCACCACCTGTGGGATCCTGGCTAAGGCCTAGTCTAATCTCTTCTGAAGCCTTCCTTAGCCTCGTGGTTCCCCTCCTGAGCTTCTCCACAGCTGGCCTCAACATACTATATACCATCTAACAATAATACCAATATACTGGGTCTAGACTCTCTATTCCTATCATTGTTACTCTCATGGAAAACTTTCAATATTGGTCTGTTGAACAAATGCTAAGAAACTAGTGTATACCCAATACAGGATGATTTGAGTATGCACTTCCAGTTCACCCACTGGAACCTAGCAGTGGACATGCAAATGGGAAGAGGAGGCCATAAAGGGAAATTTGGCCGCAAGCAAGAGTCAGTCTGCCACCTCATAGACACTCAACTCCCTGACTGAAAGGTGAAGTCACAGCCTCTCATTTGCTTTGTATGACTCTCTCTTTCTTTGATGACACAGTGACTTGTCAGCTCTGTGGACTAAACAGTTGATTATGCATCTCTCTCTCTCTCTCTCTCTCTCTCTCTCTCTCTCTCTCTCTCTCT